CCATGATGTATGCCTCTAGTGTGTGGGTATCTACATCTGTTGATAATTCAAATAAGGTCTTCAGGTTACAGAAGCCATCCACACGCGTTATTCTCAATGCTGATACTAAAGAAAATAGTGTAGATCTCTTTGGAGAACTTAATTGGCTACCTTTTTTTCATGAAGCTAAGATTGATCACTGCGCATTAGTTTATCAACGTTTGAACGGGGTGTGTCCCGATTATACGTTAGAAGTACTCAAACGAAACATCGAGATACGTTCTACTGAAAGACAAAGTAGGTATGGGTATTCAAATTTAATTTCTCCAAAGTATAAAAGAGAATCAGGTGCTAGGACTTTTCAAGTGTCAGCTAGCAGATTTTGGAATTCACTTCCCAATGTAATTAAGAGTAGCTCTAGTTTATTAGTTTTAAAGAAGTCTTTATATAAGTATGTTTTGGAGTCCTATAATGATGTTCATCACTTTACTATCGCTTAGGCTATTCTACTTCATTTTCATATAGTTTATTAATTCTTAGATAATTCATATTTTAACTGTTTAATCACCTAGTTTTAATTAGCTCACTATTTATATGTATTTGTATATATGTTTAATTTGTTTTTGAGAGCCACGAGTTTATACTGTCAAGTGCCACCCTCMAGAAATGAAGTTGATTATTATTGTTATTATTACTCAACTACATGTCACGTTGCTAGCTTTGATATAACGGCTGGAGAAGTCTACAATGTCCTTTATACTGCATATCAGCTCCCACCGTTCATAAGCCCACCCAAATCCCCTTACATAATTTTACAAGCCCAGAAACTTGTAACTGCGATTCTACGGTTACACAAAATGTATTTGAGTGCATCTTCGGGGGAAATGGAGCTGGATTATTTTTGGAAAGGAAAATTTGAGGGGAGAAGTGAAATATTAATACTGTAAATTGCCGCAGTGATAGTCACATCAGTCATACTCATAGTTAAGTGTCAGTTATGTTTGATTAACGCTGAATTGCGCAAACAGTCTGGTAATGCAAGTTCAATTTTTTATCGCGTTATTTGCCACGAAAAAGAGAAAAAAGGAAGACCGCTTACCTTTCAAAGCTATCACCTGTAGGTATCAGTAGACCACTATTGCATACAGCAAGATTCTGGAAAAATAACTATAACTCTTTCCAGACAGACGGCGCAAACCCCACGTGATTGTTGTAGGAAAATTATCTCTGACCTTATCGTTTCTTTCAACTAAATCAGAAATGCTTGACTCGGGTGATCAATGTAAAATAAGGCTGATCGATACCACGAAAAGTAGAAAACAGTTTAAAACGAAGAGCGGACAAAGTTCTAACCATAGTTAGTAGAGGGGACTGGTTAGGAAACGCGGCAAACTTCAAAGGGCCGGCCTATTGTCTGTCCCCTGAGCTTCGCTTGAACCTCACGTGACCAATGACACAGAACCAAAACAACATGGAGGACATGAACGACTTATTTTTCTTCGGCAACGATTTTGATGCCCTATTGGAAACTTTGGAAAACGAGGAAGAATTACAAGAGCACTTCGTCGAAGCAGCTGACTCTAAGTCTTTTAGAAGCCTTTAAAACGTTATTTTCGCCCAAAAACGTTGTAGTTATTAATGCCATTAGCAACGGCATCGGTCGTAGTACAACATTTTTTTACTGAAACTCTTTTGATTTTTAGGTTCAATATGAAGAGGGAATTGTTTGCTAGTTGTGCCAAAAGAAATGCAAGACTAAGGCTGGATTAAAAAGACATAAGACAATAAAGCATATGGAGGAACAAGCGCGGGGAAATCAACCGACTCAAGAAGCCAAATTCACTGCTGAAGACTTCGAAGCGTCATCAATGAAAGCACGAGATAAAATAATTGAAAGAAAAATCTACCCTCAAAGCGTAAGAGAAGAGCTACGAAGATATACGATTGCCTGGGATGAAGAAAATATGGACTTCTCAGAAGTAGAATCCATATATATGCGTTTGGTTAAAACTGGAAATGCAGAACAATTCTACTCGAAGTACTATTCCAGAATAGGTCTCAATTCAACAGAGATTTTTGTGGGGTTGTGAAGTAATGCGGCAACATTGCTTAGTACCAAAGTGGCTGATTGTTTGATAGCTCGCAGCAAACAGAAAGATGAATCACCAAATCCCAATATCCCTACTAAACTGTGTGATAGAGAAATGGCAGGGTTACAATATATTGGAGGATATCTACTGCACAAGCTTTATAGCAAGGTGAACAATGTATATAATCCCACAGCACATACTGAACAAACAGCTTCAATACTGAAAGCTGGCAAAGCAGAAGATTTGCATGTTGCAGGGAGTCAAAAACTAATTTCATCTTTAAACCGAGGTGGACTTTGGGTTATTTCTAAACAAGCTCAAACAATTTTTAAGAGAATAGAACATAATTTTAGGATTCTGACCTCAGGAAGTCTCCAGCTGAAGATTGACAATGCTAAGATAGAATCCAAATCAGCTTGTGATGTTCAATTGGTCTNATTCATTTTAAGCCTTCAACGGAGCTTGGGTTTTGCAGTGAATTTTGGACAATTTGCCAGGCGGAAAACCGCACTTAAACCACGTTTTCAAATTTTCGCAAATTTCTGAAAAATTAACACTCGTCGGAACGTTTAAACTTGATTTTTGAAAACAGTTTACCAAAGGGCATCGTTGAGCAAAATATGAGCAATTCACCAAAATGGTCGCTGACGGACGATTCTCGATCCTTACAGGCAGCCCTTCTTAAGTTTCCTCTCTAGAAACGGCTGCTTTGATCCAAACCCCAGGCCTACCGATCAGGTAGCAGTAAATCAACAATGACGCAGGTGTTAGGGCGAAAATCGTAGGGGTTTCCAGTCAATGCGGTACAAGATGCTGTGGAATCCGTTCAAATCTCCGTTTACGTAGCTTTATTGATTATATGATACAGCCTATATTTTGCCTATATTTTTATGCCAGCCATGAACGTCAATTAAAAAAAAATATATATATATAACCGGAAAACAATCCTCAAGAATAAAACCGGATTATCACAAATGAACTTAGAGAAGTTATGAACTGAACTTAAAAACTATTTTTAGTTTTAGAAGCCCGCTAACGGCAAGTTAGCAAAAAGCGTACAAAACTTAACAAACGATTTTGAAAACAATTTCATTATTTTCATCGAGAAATCGAAGAGGATTTCAGAGCCAGGGAACTTCCAAGAGCGGAAAATGTAGAAAGTTAGTTGGGATAGTGCTAGTGAATAAATTTATTTCCACAAGGAATGTGGTTCGCATCAAAGCAGCCGTTTGTGGGGAGAAACGTTGCATTTAGGAAAATAAATCTTCCTGGACCGAGACAATTTTTGGAACCGGCGACAGCCGGCTTACCTACGACCCGCGACAATTTATCCGCGACCCACGACCCGCGCCGTTAAGATTCCCATCGATCAAGATTGTAAAGATTTAGTCAAATAATATCACACACACGGTAGGCTTCCCTTTTCTGTAATACAGGAAATACTGAGAAAGACCACTACTCACGCATTGCATCCTGGTTAAGCATGGCTCTTTAAGATATTCACCCTTAAGAGAAGTTGTAGCTTTTTTGAGCCCGGTTGTTCTCTGCCCTTTGCATTTGTCTGCCTCGCATATTAGCCAAAACCTCAGGCCGTCGTTGTTGAGCTCTAATGGGTTTCTTCCCTCTAAAGAAGGACCGGGAATATCTTCTTCACTCAAATTAACTCGTCTAAGCAGGAAACTGTACTTTCACTAGTACTTTGAGACTAACTTGTCGAGTATTAGGAAGACTTGGGAAGGTATCAATACTCTGCTATACAGAAGAAGGAATCGTAAATCTGCCAGCAAAATAAAAAAACCTGATAATAGTGGTTTCACACAAGACCAATCCCTGATCGCCACTATTCTTAATGATCATTTCGCCTCTATTGGACATAGGTTAGCCTCCAAGTTGCTCCAATCACCACACCATTTAGCTGATTATTATCGCCAAACTAGTTTCCTTAACTCTTTCTTCTGTGTTCCTGTGACTCCCTATGAAGTTCAACTCGAAATTCTTTCTATTCTGAACAACAAAGCACATGGTCTGTACTCGTGTCCAACTCGTATTCTAAAATCCGCTAGTACTATTCTTTCTTTTCTTTTAGAAAATATATTTAATACTTCAATTGAGCTTGGGAGTTATCCTACCAAACTTAAACATGCAAAGGTAATTCCAATATACAAAGATGGTGACGAGACAGACCCTAATAATTACCGATCCATCTCACTTCTCTCAAACTTTAATAGAATCTTTGAAAGATTGATGTATGTACGTCTTAAATCTTACTTAAGTAAGGCAGATATTCTTGTTCCATCTCAATATGGCTTTAGAGAGAAACACTCCACCCAGCATGCAACGCTAGATAATACTATTCAATACTATTCAAAACAACATGGACAATAAGTTGTATACCTGTGGTATACAACATTCGACACAGTAAGGCATTCGACACAGTAAGGCATTCGACACAGTAAGGCATTCGACACAGTAAGTCATGAGATTCTTCTGCTGAAATTGTATCATTACGGAATAAGAGGAATAGTTAACAACTGGTTCTCTTTTTATCTTAAATTGCGTTCGCAGACAACTAACATTGGCCCCTATATATCGGCAAAGGCTGCTGTTCTGGGGCCTTTACTGTTTTTGTTGTATATAAATGATATTACACATTGTTCAAATAAGTTCAAGTTTTATTTATTTTCTGATGACACCAGTATCTTGTATAGCAGTAAAAACCTTAAATCCCTAGGATTAGAAGTAAACGTTGAGTTAACCAAGCTTTGTGAATGGCTGAATGCAAACAAATTAACTCTAAATAATAAGAAATCTAATTATGTGATATTTCAAAATTATAGAAAGAAGATATCTTTCCAACCGATGATAAATATCTTTGATATCGATAAAATGTCATATTCACTATTAGAACGCAAGGATACACCGATTGCAAATATGGCGGCCCCTGCGCGAAAGCGAGGCTTTTCGGTAGTAACCGTTGCTAAGGCCAATTCAACTCTGTTTATGTGCTCCATTGATTCAAGTAAACTGGCGAGTAAAGAGTTTGCATCCGAAGCAGAAGTCAAGGAAAGCTTAGAAAAGATTTATTCATACTTTCGAGGTATGCCAGATAATTGTTGCGTACCGTTGTATCACAAGTCAGGATACAGAGTTGGACCCGACGGCAAGAAGGTCACTTATCACGATCTTCCCCTGAGAAATCCTAAGAGGCTGAAGGTATGTGATAAAACAACCGATTATTGAATTTATTTGCCTATTCGAGAGCAGGTGTAAACAAAGACCATTTCCCAATCTTTTGCAGACTTGGTTGGTTAAAATCCGAAGAGATGCCTCGAAGGATTTCAAATTAACCAAGCGAACTAAAATCTGCTCGTTACACTTCAAAGATTCAGATTTTCGTCTCACTTTAAAAGGTCGCCGGTACATTAAAGACGATGCTATCCCATCCATATTTGCGGGGTCAGTGGCATCTCCAAATCGAAAATCGCCGCGGAAAAATCAAAATGTCGTTGAGATGCCCTCTTCTTGTCCGACGATGGATAATTTGGCGACCAATGAAAACAACAAAGATGATACTCTGGACAAAGAAATCGCCGATTTGAGGGCACAAATCGCCACACTACAGGAGGAAAATTTAATTCTTCAAGAAACCAACAAAGATCTTATGAAATCATTTGATGAACAACTGAGAAACCAGTTCGGCAAAGTTAAGTTTAAAGAGTCAGATTCAGACATTAACTTTTTCACCGGATTCCCGAACTATCAGACCCTGCTGACCTGTTATAATTTTCTAAATCCGGGTACCAATGGAGGAAACATTGCCTACGTTTCCAGTGTAACAGATGAAGTGGACTTCATGTGTGCTTCAAGCATAGAAAGCAAGGGA